ATATTTTAGAGTGATTCTTTTTTCTGCTACTTAATATTACTGTGTTTTATTATTATATTCAAAAACAGTTTTTGTTATTCTAGTTTCTAACAAAAAATCTTTATGATAATTCTTTTTGCTATTAAAGTTTCCTAACAAAAAAAGATCTTTATGAAAATTCTTTTTGCTTATAATGTTTTGAACAGAAAATACTTTGATAATTTTAGTTCATAAATTTTATATAATTTTAGTTTCAATAATACTACAAATGATTATTTTTAGTTGCATAAATTTTTATCTAATTTAAGTTGCATAAATTTTATTTTTATTGATTCTTTTTAATTGAATCTTTTTCCTATTAGAGTTTTATTAAAGCTTTTTAGTTGATTCTTTTTGCTATTGTAGAATATTTTAGTTTTGTTTGGATTAAAAAAAACACCTTTGGTTCCGCTTCCAGACACCAACCGGGAATAGATGCGTTTGGTTGGCGGGATAGAGTTGAGGGATATGGGTATCCCAACCACCTGGTTAGGGATAGCTTCTTTTTCTGTTTGGTTGGGCAGGATGAAGAGTGGTTGAAGATAATCATATATGTGTTTGGTTTGTGGGATGGGTAGTGGATAGAAATTGTGACGAACACACACATTGCATCAAACTGTGACCAGGAACTCTTTACAGAAGTAGCATCAATCTCGTGGGGACACGCTACGAAATATTGTAATCACCATGTACACACGGATGGCTCTGTCAGAAAATCGGCGGACGGAGTCTTCCCGGAGGCAACTCCACACGCTGCCATCCTCACGGCAGACGGTGCGACCCTGCTTTGCGGAGAGGAAAACGGCGCGATGGCACTGCTCCTTCCCTGACCCCGATGCCAGCGTTGACTTCCCCGACTCTCCGAGACCGGCCATGGCACTGCTTCGTCCCGGGCGTCGTCTTCCTCGTGGCGGTGGCCAAGATGCCACGCCAAGCTAACCTGTCGTACCTGGTCGCGGCCGGCCTAGTTCCGGCCGCCGCTCCTAGATACCCCGCCGCTGCCGCACTCAACGAGAGGAAAAGTGAGGGGAGGTAACGGGCGAGAAGAAAGGCTATCGCACAGAACGAACGGGATGCCCATATCCGCGAGTTTTTGGCGGACGAGTGGAGCCTGAGTTTCATGGAATATTCCAAGAATCTGGTTGCTGATATCCCTCCTCGTCCATAAACCAAACAGCTGGTATCCCCTCAAAAACGGCTGTCCCTGTCCAGTCGCGGGATATCCTTCAAATCAAACACATCCTAAAGATGATGGGCCAGGAGCAAGATCCATTGGTCCCGGTTTGTGTCTGGAACCGGGACCAATGGCCTCCGAGGCCCGGTCCGCGTCATGGCCTTATGAACCGGGACCTATGCCTTCATTGGTCCCGGTTCATGGGTGAACCGGGATTAATGGGCTTTCCCTGCCTGGATCAAAGCCCTATTTTTTACTAGTGTCTTCTACCTCAGTGCATGCATTCAACAGAGTTGAGCATCCCGGGAAACCCTCGTGCTTTGTTCATCTCCAAAGGTGTAAGAGTGTCCTGAGCATTGGATGCTCTCAAATACGGTGGCCCAAACACTTCAAACACTGCTAGGGAATTTCTTTACACAGTTGATGTAAGTGCTCTCTCCCATCGCCACGTGATGATCAATCAAATCTGTAGGAATACCATATGCCATCATGCATAGTGCTGAAGTCACCCTCTAGATAGTGTTGCATCCAAGATCTCCTGCGCAATTCCTCATCTGCATGAAGAATCAATCATTCCCTTTGACGATGTTGACAATGTGGAGGAACAAATCCGAGTCATTCTGAATTGGCATTGAAAGTATCGCTCTGAATACACCGGATTTGCACAAAAATAATCAAGCATCAGCCTATTGTACCCATATTACCTGCTCCTACGAATCACCTCACGGGCAACGGAACCACCTTGCTTTGGCTGCTTGTTTTTTCCATGTCGAGCAACATGACCATGGCAATGTCCTCATCTTCATCCCACAGATATTCCTCTTCGGAGGAGGAATCATCATACACGGGTAACGAGGAGGATTTGCAACAATTCATCTACACCACACAAATCTACCATCGCGAACAAGTCCTAGGACGCAACAAATGACAGAAAATGAAAGGTAATCACCTTAGAGGAATTCCGCCGAACACCTTGTGGGCACCAAGCTCAGCTTTTGCCGGTGTAGCTCGCCTAGGCCAACACAGTAGGGGTTCGAATGGAGCCTCGGCTTTGCGGTGGTCACACCGATCGAGTGGGAGTCGCCTGGCCTCCAATCTACCTCAGTGGGCGACATTGGTGTGGCGGCGAGAATTTTGATCGACAAAAGGGCAAGGGAGGGTTCGGAATCGGCGGGAACAGGCGCAACATTCCGAGCATCCACGACAGATGCGGGGTCGTGGCGGACTGTCCCGACTGACGGGAACGAGCGAAGGGGTGGCGGCGGTCAAGGGGGTGGCGTCGACAGCAGCGAGAATCGACCGGTGCCGAGGTGAGGTAGGAAGGTCGGTGGTGGGAAAGTTTCAGACCAGACATTTGGGGCTTCCATGGTTGTGGTTTTGATTTTTTGTCGACTGCTAGTGGTGACCCAAATATACCATTTCTATACCATTTTTTTGGTTAGGAAAAAAAATTAGTTGGTATGCATGTATTGGTCTTCTTTTGTAGCCTTTGTTTTTTGCTCCAAAAGAATAAAAAGCTAATCTCTCCGTCCCAAAATAAGCGTGTTAAGGGAATAGTTTTTTTTCTCATGTGAGATTTCTGTCTCCTGTTGGTGATGTTCTAATAGTGCTCTCAAAAAATATAGTGCTACCTTGAGTAAGCAGAGAAAATGTGTGCTCTTGAAAAACAGATACTTTTTTCGTAAGGAAATATAAAAGCGTTTAGATCACCAAGAAGTACTTTCTTCGTTTAGTTATCTAAACACTCTTATATTAATTTAGTGAGGGAGTATACGAGAACCACAATTTGCATTTTGGCATGATGTTGTGATTTCACTCGGCGCAACTGCTAGTACCTAAACTACACCTAGGGGTAGGACACAAGAAAATTTGTATCTCACGAAAAACATGCGAATTTTTAGATTGGAGGCAAACTCATGCCTCTTCTGTTGCTGTATCACATTACAAGATCACACACAGTCAGACATGGCCACGGGCGAAATGGTTGCAGCAGCTTCACCAATCTGCATTTTCTTCGCCATCAAGATTTTCAGTCTCTCCGTGCAGCACTCCGGTGGCCATGGTCGGGGCCTGCCGCTGGACGAAGTCCTCCTTGCCGACATGCCGTGCCCACCACGGCACCACCGGCGATCTTACTCCGCTTGCTCAGGTTACAAGATCTGGACCGGAGCAGTCGAGCAGAACGCGTCCGGCGGCCCGCCGGCGGCGACACGGAAGTGCCAGAGGCGCCCCTTGGCGGCGACGAGGTTGTCCTCGCACAGGTACTCCCTGGCGTACCACCGCTCCACCGTCCGGTTCATGTCGTGCACCGCCACGTCCACCGCGCCGCCCCCCGCCGCGCGCGCGAGCGCGGCCGCGGTGTATATGGCGCCCATCCGCCCCGGCTCCCCGGGCCCGGCCCCGCTCGGCCCGTCGACGACG